ACCTAACAGAGTTTGCAGGCAGCTCTTCCGTGTACGCAGCAGTCCCCCATGTGCGACCGCGAGCAGGATGGAAACAGAGCGCTGGAGGATTCCTGTGGTCAATACGTAACTTGTAGATTCACCATAAATCCAGGAAACATTTCCAGTGTCTGAATCTAATTATGCTTTGGGGGTATTTATTCGTATTTTATTCTCTGATGGGCATGACTGAAGGATGAGCTAACTTTATGTTCGATATTGCTGTTTTCTTTATTTTAAAATTATGGTACGTAGGACAGATTGTTGACTTACCGAGGAGAACACGTAGCAAGAGTGAAGCAGAGATGCTTAAAACAGCTCAGTGACGTTTCTCAGTTTTCACAAAAATCAAGTGTAGCTAATAAGGCTTACTTGGTTTTTTTGCAATTCAATCTAACTAAATACTCTTCTTTTTCTCAGCTAACATTAAAGCTGGCATATTTGCTGAGTCAGCAACAGAATATGGGTGTTTATTTTAGCTGCACATATTTTAACCAGTGAATAACAACATCTTCTTCATATTTAACAATTGTTTGAATAATTCATGAAACTAATAAAAGTGTGTTTGCATTTATTCCAACTGTTTTGACACACGAGAAGACAAATACTCTGGTTTAACAATTCATCAGAGCTATTAAAACTAATATTTATTTAAAATGAAGAAGAAATTTTAGCTATTCTTTGCCATTCACTGAAGTGCTAAAGACCTGGGAAAAATGTATCTATTTACATTTGGAACAACGATTCAATGTCCAAGATGTCTTTGAACCTTATTTTTCCTCCTTAAACGCACGTTAAGCTTGCTTATCCTAGAAAGCAAGAGTCCTTCAGCCAGATATTGGCAGGACAAAAGTATAACTTGGGAATACTGTTCTAGTTTATCACTATGGTAGTTCTGTATAAGAATTTAAAATGAATTACTTTGATAAAGCTAGATCATTAGAAAAACCTGGTAAAGAGATGACGAGGGTTATAAACTAGAAACTGATAAATAAATAAATAAGTAGGTAGGTAAACAGTATAATATAATATAATATAATATAATACAATATAATGTTATGTAACTACCAAAAGAACAGAAACTTATTTTTATTTAGTGTATAACCCATTTTCAATTAAATAAAATAATCCTGGCCTAAAACTAAAAAAAAAAAAAATGGCCTAAAACTCTTAAAGACATCCATCTTTTTTTCCTGCTTTAAGATAATTTTTAGTTATACTTTTTCTTTCTTCTAAAAGATTCCAACTCTCCTGAATTGCTTCTCCTGTGTGTTTCCCTCCAGGCAACCTTACCAACCAATTACCTTACATCAGCTTCTTCTGAAGACAGTTGCTGCCACAAGGCCTTATTCCCTCTTTTCTGCAGAAGCCTGAACTTCATCAGTCCCTCCGAATTTCCTGATACCTTCAGCTCTTCAGTCAGTCCTTCCCCTTAGACTCCTCTGAGACAGAAACTCCTGCGCATCCCTCATCCATCCGCTAAGGAATGGTCTCCGTATTTCAAGCTAGTATATTGGCAGCCTGCATTGCTTACTCTGCTGAGATCCACAGAGTTTCTATCAACTCCTGGTTTTCGGATGGTCCACCAGTGTTCAAACTGTACCTTCTTACTCTTCCCTTTTCATCTAAACCATGTTCCTCCTGTGCTCCTATTTTTCCCCTCTGTTGTTATTGCCCAGCCTTGATCGGCAGAAGTGGGTCTTTCTAGACCTCTGAACAAGGACATGTGCTCTAGAAATAATGGCAAAAGTTAGGCTGGAGGGACCTTGGAGGTCACAATGTCCAACCCCCACTCAAAGCAAGGCAACTGTCAACGTTAGATCAGGTTGCTCAGGGTGTTACCCAGCAGGGTTTTTCTCTTGGTTGTCTTTTCTTCACCGTGGGGAAAGCAACTTACACTCCAGGTAAGTTGCTGTGATACCAGTTGCACTGTACTTGGTCCTGCAACTTCTACTAAACTTCGACTTTTTTTCTTTTAACTCCTTATTCTTCTACCAAGGAGAACCATCCGAGACGGCAGCAGGTTGTCCTACCACTTTCAGGTATCTCCCTTGCCACATGCTAACGCTAGCTTTCCAGAACTTTCATAAAAGAGCATATTCGTTCAAGTCCACCCTGATGGCCTACCGGTTTCATGCGTTACAGACACAATCAGGTGCGTACTAAAGATTTAGATTTGCAAAAACAAAACACAGCTTGCAAATCCATTGCTTTTGCTGTTCTGCCTAAGGTATTATGCTTATATTTAGATATATTTTTTGTGAAGAGAAAAAAAAAAAAAAAAGAAAGAGGAGCTTTAGAGAGGACTTTTTCTCGAGTAGAGAATTTACACAAGTACTAGCCATTTTGAAATTCTCCCTTGCACAGATAAAACAGATCATTCAAGGAACCTTACTGGATTGCAGAGGATAAGAAACTGCCTAAAAGCATCCTCACCTGAACCCAAGTGCTCAGTTTTAGTGCTTTCCAGAAATAGAATGCCAATGATTTTAACCTCAGAAAACTGGAGGTTAGAGTTTTGGTTTTCAGAGGTCATTTTCCACAACAGTCTGCTGATTTAAGTTTTACAACATGAATTTCAGAGAAACGTTCTGATAGATCTTTGTCCCATGTAAGCAACGCACCTCAAAAAATGATGAGATGTATGCGTCTTCATGGCTTAAGCAAGTCAGTTTTCAAGAAGCATTTTCACACCTTCGGACTACTATGCACTTCTGAGCTGGGGAATTATTTTATTTGGACAGCATAAAGAATTAGGCTGATGATACAGGTTTGATTACTGTTTCAGGGTATCAAATCCAGTGAGGGGAAGGAAACACCTCAGCCAAAGTTCTGAGAACCAAAGAGACGCCAAACCAGAGCCGTCCCCTGTAACATTCCAGTTCAGGTGAACACTGCAGTTAGTCAAGTTCACAGATCTCTTCTCAGCTGAAATCTCGAAAGATTTGGGGTATGCATTTTTGTGTCATAAAGATCTTTTTCTGAAGGCCATGAAAACGAGGGTAATGCTGGATAATTGATAACAGACAGCGTTCAGCATTTATCATTCATCACCTCAAGCTGATGATATCACAGTAGAGGCTTATGCAAAAATCTAACTTCCTGAGATTTTTTTTTTTTTTTTGAATTTTTTAATTGAAAAATGTTTTTTTCCCAGATACCAGCTGAATGCTCTCGGCTTAGATTTCAGCTGATTTGAGAGTTTTAGTTTTTGTGGTTCTCTGTGTCCATCTTTTAAAGTGGTTGTTCTAATATTTTAATCTTGCATTTGAAACAATTTCACAAACCACATTCCTTCATCTTAATGAGTCCTGGAAAACAGGAAATGAAGGGTTCAAAGGAAGGGCAGACAACTACTGTAAATCACAAAGTATATTCCCTCCAGAAAGGGATTATTTTAAAAACAAAACCTGATCATCATTAAGAGATGTAATTATAACAGATTGTTTAAACCCTAATGATGTTGCTCTGAGGTAATCAGTCTTTATAATCCTATTCAGTGAAAAGAACTACATACCTTTGCAGTATGATGAAGTGAAATGCAGCTGACAAAACATAATAAATCAAGGAACAGCAAGACTCTCAGTTTTCAGGTAGGCCATTACAAAGGTCTACAGCTCGGGTACTCTAATTTACGGTGAACAGAGAGTCTGCCTCAGAAAATACTAATTTCTACTTGTATGCGGTACCATGTAAATATTATTTTTCTTCTGAGCATGTAAATTCAATTATGAGACTGTATTTTCATTCCAAGAGAAGCAGCAAAGCTATGCATATGGTAAACTGAATTAGAAATCCACTATTTTGGATGTCTTCTTTTTTTTTTTTTTTTTTTTCCTTGAGGCACTCAAGGTTAATATTAATAAAGAATAAGTTTCAGGCTTTATTTTTACATTCACTATGGCTACCTTTAATCATATATATGAAGCAGGATTAAACGCCCAAGCAGCTGTGTTCTCTTTCTGTTGGCAGTATAATAATGACATAATAGTCTCTATGTCAAGCATTCTCAAACAATCTGTATTCTGACATTTGTTTGCAGAACCCATTGAATATTAAATTTGCAGAATTTCAAATATGCTTTTGCAGACATAAAATGTCTAAATGTACTGAATATTGATTGTGATCTTATCTGATAAGCTCCGCTGATATTCAACTCCAAAGATATTTTAGTTTTTAGTTACATACTTTGGTGCCATTTGTTTTCTGTCTTGATCAATTAATCTCCAGACACTTAAATAATTCTTGATTCTGCAATGGCCAACCGATTTAAAAGGATCTGTCTCCCAAACAGAAATGTCTGCCTCAGTGGCAGTCTATTTTAAAGTTATTTGTGTTGACAAGAAGTTTAAGAAAGCTCATATCAGATGCCACATTTAATTCATAGCGTGAAAGAAATCCAACACTTCAAACTGTAAGAGTCTCTCATCACATTTTCTTAGTTAAAACGTTCTCCTTTTTTCAAGCTTGTCACATGCAGAGCTTTATTTTTAGCTGACAGAAGGGTTGAACAGTAAGATATGAGCTTTAATACCAGAAAAAAAAATAGCTGGATGTTTCTTTAATGTTTCAAATTATAGGCTAGAGGCATATCCAACAACATGCCGTTAGAGTTAATGAAGTGTGTTGATTCGTTGCAACAGCAAACATATGCCCATGTAATCTCTGATGCTAATGATCTAAAGAGTTAAGGGGAGAGGTGTCCTAGAATTATTTTGCCATGTTCCTAGCAAAATAATTGGATGTACTAATACAACATGAAATAAAATCCTGGATTGGTAACTTAATGAGAACTGCTTGTCAATTAACAATAATGGCTCCTGACCTGAGGCTCAGTAGTACATTCATGAGGTTCACACAAAAGACCACATCGGTGTCCTGTGTGTCAACAGATCTTTCACGCAGAACATGCATCCACTGCTGTAACTGCGCTTTAAATGAAGTAGTTAAACCTCTATTAACCTTCTCCATTGCAATAAAGTACACGACATCTCCTGTACCAATCTAGTTTAAGAAAAAAAACCCAAAAGAAGAATCAACCCCCCGATGACTCCACTGTTACAAATGAGTTTTGGTGGCAGTGGTGGCAAGCCTAAATACCCACACCATAATGAGCACAGCCATGCCAACCTGGGCTGCCCTGGGACATCTGAGATACAGAAATACTCCTGAGAAAAGGTAAATGAAAGCTTTATCTAATCTTCTCCGGTTAGATTTTTTTATGATGTCTCTAAAAGTGGCCATAAGCAATGGTTAAAATTGTTCAAGTCCTTCCTTAAATATACTCATGACAAAAGCAACCATCAGCCTAATTTCCTAGGGATAAAATGCCGCTGTGTTTGAATGTGTAATAAATATTAGAGGAACGAATACTCAGAAGAGGTGGAAAAGCTGCAGACGTTTCTGCTGTTAATGAAAAAAAAGTGAATGACAAAGGGACAAAATATGGAACAGACAGACTTGGTCATTTTCTCTGAATTCTGTTTTTTCCCATACCCTTCATCTGTTTTCTGTCTTGTATGACTGTAAGCAATTTGGGGCAGAGGCCGATTTTCTTGCTTGGCACACTCCTAGCAGACTTGAAATGTTACCACAATATGTATAACAATAACAAGAACAGAAAAATCATACTTAAGCACTGGAAATGTTTTCTACATATTTAATAAATTAAAATAGCTCTTGTAAAAATCCTTCTGTTCCAATGCAAATCAGGTAAGTGAGATATGCCTGAGGACAGAGCTAAAACAAAATAATACTGTGGGCACCCGGTCTTCTGAGTTTTCGTAACTGTAACTCTTCACCTATCGGGGATGCTCATATTCAGACAATGTCGTGCTAAAAAGGCACATTTCTGCCCTCTTCCCACCTCTTCTGGACTGTAAGACAACGAGAAGGGAAAGCATACCTGTATACCCGGTCTTACAAACGCAGTTGAAGCTTCCAGGGAAGTTCTGGCAGGCGGCACCATTCTTGCACGGGTTGGAAAGGCACTCGTTGACGTCCCTCTCGCAGGCCATGCCAGTGAAGCCCTCCGGGCAACTGCACGAGAAGCCCCCCACCAAGTTGTGGCAAGTCCCGTCATTGTGGCAGGGGGAAGGGAGGCATTCGTCGATGTCCGTCTCGCACAGACTCCCGTCGTACCCTGGCATGCACCTGCACACGAAGGGCCGGAGGGGCTCGTTGGCCACGATGATGACAGGGATGCTCTCATGGCTCTTCAGAGCTGGGCTCACTGCCAACCTCCTCAGGCAGCTCCCTCCATTCTGACAGGGGCTCTGCAGGCACCAGTCGTGGTCCACAGCCTCGATCCGCACCCCGCTCTGGCGCAAGAGGACATCTTTGATGCTCTCGAAGAACGTAGCCACGCCACTGGGATTCACGTACTGGTTGTTGCCGCGTTTGATGGCCGCCATCAGGAAGGTGTGGTTGCTCTCCTCGTAGAGCCCATAGAGCTGGACGGCAGTGCCCAGCCCCGTCAGCTGGGAGCTGGCGATGCGCAAGAAGTGGAGATAGTGATTCGTTAGGAAATCCCGCACGCTGTGGGCGCTCAGGCGGAGGAGGATGCTGTTGTCAATGGTGGCGTTGCCGAAGCCCGCAAAGAAAATCCGGACGCTGCTGGTGACGGCACCATGCAGCCCGTCATTACTGAGGACAGCCAGGTCAAACGTGCCATCCGTGGACCTCGCCTGCGAGTACAACTCGCAGGTGCCCCCAGGAATGCTGAAGAGGCTGGTGACTCCTGAGGTGAGGGAACACTGGAAGCTGTCTAGCACATCTGGATCCTGTGGCTTTACGTTGCCCAAAATTCCACCTGGGAAGAGGTTGCCATAATAGTGAACAAAGATTTCTACTGTTCTTGGCTGAGATGGGTTGTCATTTTGGTCTATTACCTTGATTTGCACAGTTCCTGTAGAAGACATCTGAGGAACGCCAGAGTCTCTCGTAATCACCGACAGGTAGAAATCGCTGATTTGCTCCCTGTCGATCTCTCTCGTGGTTGTCAGCACACCAGCGGTGCTAAGGCTGAAGTAGCTGGTTGCGGGGCCAGTGCTGAGCAAATAATACGTAAAGGGACCTTGGTTCGGAGGGAGATCAGGATCTGACGACTGAAGTGTCATCACAAGAGTTCCCGCACGGTTATTCTCCATGACTTCTCCTTGGCTGGTGGACAAGGTAGGGCCGTTGTCGTTGATATCTTCCAAAGTTACCAATAAAGAGGCACTTCCTGTGGCAGACGGCGTTCCTGAATCGACGGCCAGCACAGATAGGTTGTACACAGGCAACGTTTCTCGATCCAGCTCTGCAGTGACCGTCACCTGCCCTGTCTGTGGGTTGATGGAAAAGGCGCTGTTGTCATTGCCAGACCCAATGAAGTAGGAAAACCTGCTCCAGCTAGGGACAGAATCTGAATCAAAGGCACTCACGAACGTGACATGAGTGCCTGGAGGAACACCCTCACTGATTTGTATATTGTAGGTTCCTAAGGTAAAAACAGGAGGATCGTTGGCATCCAGTATAGTGATATTAACAGTTACTTCATCTATATCTGCACCACGAATGCTCCCAAAATTTTTTGCGAGGACTTTCAAAGAGATTCGTTCTTCTTTTTCTCTGTCAAGAGGTCCTGAAACATAGATCTGGCCACTTTTCTCATCTATCTGGAAGCCCTTCTTTCTGCTGTTGCCAAAGATGAGGTAGTGGACTTCTCCATCAGTTCCCATATCACGATCACTTGCAAAAACTTCACCTACAACAGTACCTTTGGAGGCTGCCTCAGAAACCTCAAAATAATATAGCTTGGACACAAAACGGGGCACGTATTCATTTGTCCCTTCTAACTGGATGTTGACACTAGCAAAGCTGCACCTCTCTTCATCTGGAACATTAAAAGCCTTTACTGTTAAATGGTAACTTTGCTTTGTTTCATAGTCTAAAAATCCCTGGGTGGTGATGGTTCCTGTATTGGGGTCAATGACAAAAAGGTCACTATCTGAGGACTGAATAGCATATGCGACCACAGCGTTAGGTCCAGAGTCAGCATCAGTGGCATTTAAACGGATAACAGTTGTCCCACTGGGGGCATTTTCTAACACGTTGGGAAAGTAGTCCTCAGGGCTGAATGCTGGAGAATTATCATTCACATCGATGACATTAACAGTGACACTGCAGTAGCCTGTTCTGGAAACCCATCCTCCATCCGTGGCGGTAATGACTAGCTCATGCTTTTGGCACGACTCAAAATCAAGTGGTTTTGCTAGTGTCAGTGTACCCGTAGTTGTATTTATAGCAAAGACGCCAGCCTCATTTCCAGAGGAAATATTATATCTGATTAATCCGTTCATAGCAGCATCTCTGTCACGGGCTGAGACTGTCCTGACCACCGCTCCAACAGAGTGACTCTCTGGGATAGTAACGCTCATACGGCTTTGAGAAAACTCAGGTGTATGGTAATTTTCCTCTGTCACGACTATTTCAACAGTTACCTCGGATGAGAGCGGAGGATTACCTTTATCCTTTGCTTTCACTTTAAACAGAAAGTTTTTGTTCAAATCAGCCATTAGTGAAGATGACACAGAAATCCAGCCTGTACTCCTGTCCAGTCTGAATTTATTAGTCTTGCTTTCCTCAGAGATAAAGTACTCCACTTCAGAATTCAAGCCAAAGTCTTTGTCATCCACTGCAGTAACTTTAATTAAGTCTGTGCCAACCCTCACGTTCTTAGTAACAGGAGTAAAATATTTACGAGCGAGGAACAGCGGTGCGTTGTCATTGCTGTCTACTATGTTAATGGTGACGGTTGTCTCGCTCATTAACGGAGGACTGCCTCGGTCTGAAGAAGTAACGATGAAGCTGTGTCTATTAATGTTGACATTGCTTGAACCGCTGGAGTTTTGGTACCTTAAATACTGCTTGTTGAAAATTTCCCCCGTGGTTGCATTGATTCGGAAGAACTCCGACTGGGATTTTATGAAGTAGAAGACTTGACCGTTCGACCCTTCATCAGGATCGGTGGCTGAAACCTGGGTGACCTTCAGCCCAATCCCAGGAAGCTCAGGACACTCCAAGTAATATGATGGCTTTGTAAATCGAGGGGCATTGTCGTTGACATCTGTAACAAATATGGTGACATCTGTGCTCACCGTCCACCCAGAGTCATGCGCAGAGACCCTGATTCTGTAGCGGTCAGTGTCCTCCCTGTTTAGCGGTCTGCTGATGGTGATGTCCCCGGTGTTGGGATTTATGGTAAACGGGAGGCTCGTATCCCTTATGGAGTACCTGCTGACCGCGTTCACCCCAATGTCTTCATCTGACGTCGTGACTCGGGTTACCGTAAAACCCAGAGGAGCGTTTTCAGGCACGGAAGCACTGAATATCTGGGAAAACCTTGGAGCATTGTCATTTTCATCTAAAATATTTATGATAACTTTGACAGTTGTGCTCTGGAGCGGGGTGCCTTTATCCGAAGCTTTTATGGTTAGTGTGTATCGAGACAATTTCTCTCTGTCCAAGGGCCTGACGCTTCTGATCTCACCAGTGGCCCGATTGATACTGAAACTATTTTCTGTATTGCCCTCAATTATTTCATAATTCAGCTGTCCATTTAGGCCACTGTCCTTGTCGACAGCAGCCACCACCAGTATCTTCCGTGGGGACAGGTTCTCCACTATTTCTGCAATGAAGGGATCTCGCTCAAACTCTGGCGCGTTATCATTCACGTCTATCACCGTTACTTCCAGTTTCTTATATGAGGAAAAGGGAGGAAAGCCCGTATCTCTGGCCTCGATCCAAACCACGTATTTCTGTATGGCTTCAAAATCTAAAGCCCGCCCGACAGAAAGCTGTCCTGTCGCCTGGTCGACCAGGAAGGTGCTGCCCAGGTTACCACTGGCGATATAGTAAGACAAGGAGCCTCCTCTGGCTGAAGACCCAGAGACGGTGGTGACAAGTGTACCAACCGCTTGGTTTTCAGGAAACGTGAAGGTCTCCTGATCCGCCTGAACACGAGGGAATTCTGCTCTGTTCACAAACCTCACGGTGACGGTTGTAGAGTCTGTCTTGGGGTACCGGCCGCCGTCCCTCACGTGAACAGAAATGGTGACTTCGGACTCTCCCGCCAGTGGGTTCGCAGCCAGGATCGCCCCTCTCGCTGGATCGATGTGGAATTTCTCTGAGTTTTTCCCCATGAGGGAGTAATGGAGCTCGGCATTGGAGCCAGCATCCGCATCCGTGACAGTCACAGCAAACACAAATGAGCCTGAAACAGAGAACAAAGTTAGGGCATCTTCAGATGCGCTGACTGTGGGAAACGCAATGCCAGCCTTTCACTTGGAAGTGCTTGAGAGGGTCCCTGTCCCAGTATTCTGCATTTTTCACAGGATGAAATGATCAACCAGGGGTAGGTGAGTTTGCGAGCCTGCAAGACATGCGCGTGGCCAAAAAATGTGGATTTGAACAGATGTCAGTGGCTACATGTACATCTGCACTGGAAAATGGACGTGCAACTTTTTGGAAGTCTAGCATCCCATTTCTAGAAGATATTCACATTACGAAAGCCATACATCAATAAAATCGAATGTTATTTTGATATTTTTTTTTTAATTACTCATAGTTTATTTATCCATGTAAAAACAAAACCCTGGAATTCAATGACTATTAAGGTAACCTAAGTGAAGAGGCAGCACCCACGGACATTTACCCTACACACCCACCTTCCCTTGCAGCCCCTTTTCTTCCTATTCCCCACACGCTGCTCCTTTGTCCCCAGTAGCCTCTCGCTTCAGATTGTGTAAGAATATTCTGAGGATAGTAACTAATGGGACTGCATTTATAAAAGCATGCTGGTCCTATGAGGTAGGGGTAAAACCACACAGAAATACAAAACTATTGCACACTAGTGCAATAACATGAATATATTACGTTTCAGGTCTTTTGAATTTATGCTTCACAATAAGCTCGACTATACAGGCACTGTTTGCGTTAACCTCTATATTTGCCTAACTGCAAGGAGAATCCGGGCGTTCTTTTGCACTGGAGTTTACAGATCTAATGCACGGCACGTCTTTCAAATTTGACACTGTCCAACCAATTTGCAGAACGCTCTGTTGATGTTTTACTGGTACCGAAATACAGAAAATACCCTCTCCTGTATAAAAATCATGTTGGTTTCAACCTCTGAAGGCAAAATAATTTACAAGCAG